AGCCATTCAGTTAATGCACTACCAAGAGATTTTACATAGTCTCTTAAAAATCAAACGTATCGTTACATATTGTTTACATATTGTCCGTTATCTGTTAACACGTTGAATAAACGATAGGGGTTGTAATGTGACAACGTGAATTTAATGAATGGATATTCTTCGATGTTAATAGCGTTCCAACGCTATTCTCAACGTAGCAGCATATATATTTATATATTGGCCCCATCGCCACATTTAAGGCAGAAGTCAAATAAGTTATTTGTCGATAATATCTGTCAATTTATTCCATTTCTATTTTTAATCTTTAAGTTTTAAGTATTTAGGAACGAGAGAATAACATAATAAATATATTAAGGTTCTGAAAAATGTCTCTTGGAAAATGTTTTTGGAAATTCAAAATATTTCCCAAGCAATATCCCTGTTTCTTTGAGACATGAACTTTTTGCGGTTTACTGCATTAAGTATCACGGAATATAAAGGAAGTGGATATAATCTCAACGTAATGTTTAAACTTTGTTTCGCATTTCGTAAAAAATCATCACACGCACCCACTCGTTAAATGAGAAAGAGAAACGATATCGGAAACGGATAATAAACGGCGCTTTTATTTCAGCTGTGGCGATTTGTGTCCTACAATCTTATTGCGCAATACATTAAAGTGTCCGTGCACCTGCGTAAGCTGAGCTCTAAGTGAGTCAGAAAGCTGTTTTTGCAACTGCTGAACCTCCAAAATTTCTTGACGAAGATTTTGATAATCTTTCGTAACCTGATGGACAGAGTGTAATAGGCGAAGCACAGATATCTGTTGAAAGCACAAAATAAAATGCGGTTTGATGATTGATCCGAAGAAACATTGCAGACAATAAAAGTGCAATAAATAATTCTTAAACGTGACGTCGCACATGTTTAACGCTAAGTGAAACGGATCACCCTGGTTTCAAGCAGGAATTATCCGATGAATGTAATATAACATCGTTTGTAAATACACCGTCACAGTGGGACTGTACAGATACAACACCACATGTTTGTTCCTTTCAGTTGTACCTCATAATTTTTTCTTCCACCAAATGTGAACAGATTGTTTCAAATTAATTGTTAATTTTTCTTTAATAAGCTTGAGATTTATTTTTATCATTTCAAGATTTCCACCTTCAATCAATAAGATTTAAGATTGATTGATTGAACTCATGATGCTTTGTAAATTAGCGTACATAGAAAAACAGTAATAATTTAATTGTAAGCAAATCAGCCAATTGAATTGAGAATTATACGAAACGTAAGATTATCATTTTTAGATTCTTGCCCAGTAACAAGCTTGGTAATATATCAGCAGACTGATAGCAAACTCAATTTGAAATTCCAAGAAAATTGATATGCAATTGTGTCTGCATTAAGCTCGTTTTATCAACAAATGTTTACTTCTATCAATATAGATTAATTTAAATTTTCAGAAATTCATCTGGATTTTATTTATATTCATCCTTGCTTTGGATCAATAACTCAAATTTGAAATTTTTGATCTTTAATCTTTAATAGAATTAATCTTAAGTTTAACTTATTTTTTATTTTTAGTTTAAAAATAAGAAAAAGATAAAGAACAAATTAAACCAAGCTTAAAATTAATCTATACTATAAAAATGGCTAAAAGTCTGGAAACAGATTATCAAGAAATTATGCATTCTGTGTTTAACAAACTCTGCTCGATTTCTGGCATCAATTTATACCAAAGTATAGAGCAAATATATCAGTCTTTGGAGATTCTTGCCATCAATCTATCATCATATCAATAAACTTTTGCTATATTTCTGTCGATATTCTGTATTCCTTTTCTATAAAAAAATTTTTTTTCAACATTCTTGATATCTCATTATATCCAAAGTTATTCTTATTAAATTATTATTCCACTAATAATATATCAATTTTATAGTCAAATTTGTAGTCCTTTTGCTAATAAAATTTATAGTGGATGCTTTGCAGAATTTGTTCTCGATAGACTTGGCCAATGACAATGAGTGGTCAATTTGTTTATCGCTTATGTTTTTCTCAAGCGTAACTTTCACATCCATTTCGTACTAAACAGATTGAATAAAGTACAATTAAAAAGAACAAGACTTGACACATGACTTGTATGTAATCGCTACTGACAAAAGCGGAAGGGCGAACTCTTACCTCGTTTTCCGGATCCTCGAAGGCTTTTTCAAACGCGTCTATTTGCCACGCAATCATGTCCAGCTTCCCGTCGGCTTTCTGTACCTGAGGCACACGAAGACGAGGTGAACTCGACAACGTAAAAAACGTTTGACCTTTCGCGAACGGGTGACACTGATCGCGCTCGTCGTTTCTGTCGTCGCGGAGAATCTTCCAGAATGTTTATACTTACACTTTCCTCGAGATGCCCGATCGCGGACTCCATATCACGTTTCTCTCTTCGACGTAGCCAGCGTCGTTTAAATATGAGAAAATAACCCTCGAGACGTCGAGGAAGGCAGCCGTTATCTTATTGCACCGGGATCGATCTGTTTCTCGCATTTGAAAAGCACACCGGCCACTGTGGAATAATTCGGCATTTCGCCGCATAAGCGCAGCACTGTTCAGCGGAATTGTTATTACAACTGTCTTACCGACGTCTATTAGATCGAATATATCAGGAGACACGGTAGTGTCTCGGGTGTCAAGCCAATCGAGAACACTGCCGTGTGACTTTACGCGAGTCGGCGAGATGCAAGCATCCGAAATTATCGGATCTCAATAACGATTAAATCGATCAACGTCTAATGCCCGATTCCATGAACGATAGATTTAGTTTAATCTCAGTTTAATCTCAGCTTGCTCTTCATCTTTATCTAATTCTTAAATTATAATGCAATAAATGTGAATTATTATAATTGCTTATTACTATAATTGCAAAATATATTAAAATGCAATATATTAAGAGCATGTATAATGTAGTTTTTATTTTGTAAAATATTTAAGCTTTATTTTTCGAACTTACTTTAATCTATAAAATAATCTCTTTTTTTTATTAATTATTGATTTTCCATTCATTTCAAATTTGTATAAAAAGAAGCTATTAGGCGTTACACCTAAGAAGCTCTTTAATTATATACCTATAAACTTTTCAGAGACGAATAAAACGGTAAACTGTGATGAACAATTATCCAAATCAATAATTGAATTGGAATTGCCGTTAACCGTAAAGAATTGACGAAATCATAATCGATTATTCTTCTATAATTATTCTTCTATATTCTTCTATTTCGATTGTGATTGGTTAAATTTTACCCTACCCTAAGATATTTCTTCTTAGCAGTTCGCTAGACCGCCGAAGAGGAGACACGAACGCAGGAAAAACCATGCTTGGTTCTGCCGGGAATCGAACCCAGGATCTCTAGCATAATTAGACCAGTGCGTTGTTTACTATGCCACGTTCGCTCTCGATAGTAAATGATATCATTCGAATATTCTACACTCATACTGAAAAAAGTACTATGGTCATATATACTGTACAGGGCAGACCAACTCCCATGTTATTTGCAAAACGGTACATTCAGCGCACTCTGGATAAAAAAATTAAAC